CCTTCTGACTCAATTAATTGATTTGAGTGAAAGCAGCCACCAGGCTCGGGAATGACTGGTGACCCCAGGATACAAAGCAATCACATAAATCTTGTTTCCATCGGCCATCAGCCACGGTTTTCGGCATGCCAGGTTCCTGAATAAAACACCACGCGGGTTCCCGCTCCCCTGGATGCATCAAGGAGCTGTTTCGGCGTTTGGGAAACTGCCCCACGGGAATTTGGGGAAGGCGAAAGGTCTTTCGGGCTCGGTCGCTCGGTTTGGCCAGGGCCTTGACGAAAAACCCCAGATGTTCAGAAAAATGAGATTTTTAAGCTGGTACTCTGTTTAGCCGAGTCGAGCAGCAGATACGGCCCCGCCAGAAAGCAGGCCGTGCTGGTTGGGGCGGTCGCGAGCGATTTCTTCGCTCCGTGCCCAGGTCACCGGTGCTGGAATGGGCAAAGCGGGAGGTTGCCGAGTCGCTCCGCGAGGCAGCGCTCGCCGTGAGTTACGTTGAAAAGGCACAAAGGGGAATATCGAGCGTTTGTGCTGTAACCTGATAAATGGGCTCCCGGGGCGAGGGCGCAGGGGGTGCCGGGGATCCATGGGAACGGCGGCTGCGTCGCTCTGCTGAGCGCGAGGCTCTGGAAACGCGCGGGTTTAATTTAATTTTTCATTTTTTATGCGTAGATGGAAACGAGGTGGGAGGGCGAAGACGGCGTCTCGCGGTTCAGATTACCTTAATGGCTCTGCCTGGCTGCGCTGCGGAGCTGACGGCCTCGCTGCGGGCCTCCCTACGGGGGGGGCAAAAACACCTCACCTGCACCCCGAGGGCTTGGGAGAGCTCCCTCCCTACGGGGGGCAAAAATACCCGGTTTTTGTGTCGAGCAGAAAACAGCCAGTTCTGGCAGCGTGACTTTGGGGCCTGGGCGAGAAGTTCATTTTTATTACGTGCTTAATCTCTTTTTTTTTTTTTTTTTTTTTTTTTTTTTTTTCTTTCCCCCCCGCTCTTCCGAGCCCTTGGTGAGTACGGCAGGGAGGAGGGCTCGCTCTTCTGCTGGAGGTGAGATGTCTGGAAGGTGCTTTGCTCCCCTCGGAAGGAATTCTCCAGATTGTGAGCCCGTCTCTCCCCCTGCACCCTTACTCTGTCTCAAACACGGCCCGTGTTGTCGTGATCACACCCTGGCAAACCGAATCCCGTGTCACGTTCGGGCCGAGAAGGCCGTGTTGCACTCTTGGCCCCTTGAAATCTGTTTGCGAAAATAAGTGAGAAAGTGGCTTTTTTGTTGTTGTTGAGACAAGGCGCTGAAGCGCAGCTGCTGCCTCCGCGCGCTGGCTGGGCGCTGCAGGACCATCGCAGGCCGCTCCTCGGGGCGTTCGCATACTTTCCCCAACAGCTGATGGAGGTGCCAAACCCCGACTCTGCGGCCAGACAGCGAGCAGGGACAGAAATTGAGCTCAGTAACTCGACAGACCCGCTGGAATAGCTCGGTGTGTTTTGGGGAAGGGAGGGCTCGGGGCGATGTGTGGTACTGACGTTCCTCCCCTTGGATCATGGAAAAAAAAATAGTGTTTCTGTGTAGGGTTTTTTTTTTTTTTCCTGGTATCGGTGAAATGTCTGGACAGCAGCAAACCCAGGAATATCGATTCTAACCCCAGTTCGGTCCTTCCTTCTCTCTAATTCGTGAGGAGGGAGCTTAGCGTTGGTACCTCTGTTGCCTGTTAGCAAGAACAGTTCTTACGAGGGGGGGAAAAAAATAGCGGTAAGTGTCGGTGTAATTTGGAAGGAAAAACACGAGGCAAGAGATGTGAAATGCAGCCTGGGGGGGGTCTGTTGGCTTCAGGCTCAGAGCCTGGCGCCCCGGGAGCCGGCAAACCCCAGAGAGCTCCGGCGGGGGGAGTCTCTCGAGCAGCCCTTTTTCCAGAAATCCTGATTTTTGAGGGGTTTTCCCCCCCCC